GCCCCGCCACACACATTAACCAGGTAAAATACATATTTAGGCAGAATTTTGAAAATATCGATTTTTTTTAGCAGCACAGTGCTTTTTTTCCAGTTACTTTTTAAAAGTCAGGTCAAGGCTCCAAAAGGCCAAAGGCGATATAAGGGTGGCGGCTCACAACAGTTTTTGTTTGCTACATGGATCATTTTAGTTCAGCTTTCCTTTTGTTATATTTCTTTAAGAGTTCAAAATGTGTTAATTACATAAATAAAATGTAATTTTCTCTGTAGCACTTCATGAATTTCATAAACAACACACCTTAGTTGCTCTGTGGATTCTTTTAAAAAGCAGTTAAAAACTTTTCTGTTCAAACAAGCCTTTTGTTGATCTACGTGTTTTATATTCTTTACATTATTTACATTTGATCTTTTACATTGTGTATAATGTCTATTGATTGTATTGTTTATTTTAATATTTGTGTACAGCGCTTTGTGACTGCCTGTCTGTGAAAAGCGCTTAATAAATAAACTTTACTTACTTACTTCAGTTGTTCACACAAAGCATAAAGGTAAAAAAACAATATATACAGTGTTATCTTCATTTTAGATTTCAAAAAGTATTTGCGGCTCCCAGTGTTTTCTTTTGCGTGGAAACCGGGTCCAAGTGGCTCTTTAGGCCACTTGGACCCAGTTGCTGACCCCTGGTCTTTTACTATTGCTGTTGGGTTTTTCTTTCTACCTCCCAGGTCCTGCTATACATGTAGAAGCATATTGTCCTGTATATGTATATGCTTGTGACTGCTGTTTTCCTGCTTTGCAATTAAAAGTTCAGTAAAAAAAAACAACCAAAAAGAACAACAACTGAGGATCAGAATGAGGAAGAATGGTCTGAATAAAATCAAAACACATGTGAGAGGCAGTTCTCTGTGTAAAGTAAAGCTCTATTGATGTCATAGATGAGATGAGAATGGCCAGACTCAGACGGTATAGCAACTCAAGTCATATCAAAATAACGCAAAGGTCATCTCTGAACGCACAACATGTGGAACATTGAAGCAGATGTACTACAGGAAACCGAGGCTACAATTCCCAATGGCTCATTCGAATTGGACAATAGAAGACTGGAAAAATGTCGCTTAACTCTCCATTTCTGCTGTGACATTTAGACCAGCGGTCCAAGCAGTCAGTGAGTCGTTGGGTACTGGGCCGCGAGAGTTGAGGTTCAGGTGTGAAATGTATGGTTTTCAGGGTTTTTATCGGTTTTCAGCGTTATTTTGTTATCGTTTTTATCGTTAACTCAGTTTTTCTGGGTCTTTTCACGTGTGTTATGAATAAATCTTCTTTTTTCGGTACCGGTACTAGTTTTATTTTATTTTATCCGCGACACCTTAAAGGCTGGTCCGTGAAAATATTGTCGGGCATAAACCGGTCCATGGCGCAAAAAAGGTTGGGGACCGCTGATTTAGACGATAGTGTCAGAATTTGGCTGAACATCCACCCATGCTTTCAAACATGAAAGCATGGGTGCTGTGTTGTATCAATGGTTCAGGCTCGGTGTGATGGTCTGAAGGACAGTTTCTGGTAACACCATGAGCCTCAGCTTTCCTGCATATTGTTGCTGACCATGTCCATCCCTCTGTGACTACAATGTGCTCATCTTCTAATGTCTGCTTCCAACAGGATAACACACCATGTCACGAAGCTCAAATGATTTCTAACTGTTTTTTGAACAGTTTACTGTACTCAAATGGCCTCTACAGTCACCTGATCTCGATCCAGTAGAGCACCTTTGGGATGTGTTGGAACAGGAGATTCTCTTCATCGATGTGTAGCCAAAAAACTGCATCAACTGTGCAATGCTGTCATGTTTTTGTAGTGTACTTGTTTTTATTTTCCTGTAATTGTGGTTAATTTATCATTTAAAACAAACATGGTATATAAACATAACTGATACTTATGTTTCTGTGCATCAAAATCTCCAAAATACATACACAGTATATAAATAGATACTAGACAAACCCTTGACCCATTTATGTATCTTTCCCTCAAAATACATCTAGTGGCCCTGGCAACTAGATGTATTTTGGAGATTTTAATTTATGCGTTAGTTAGTGATAGTTGAGCTACAGTTTTAAAAATTTAAAGGCGATAGAGCCTCTGAGTATTAGCTGATTAATGCTGATGTATTTTGCTTATACAGCATGTATGGCTGGTGTTAACTGCAGGGGGTGTATTAAGTATCTGCAGGCCCACAGAAGCTTTCTGCATAAATTATGAGCACTCTCCAAATCTATGCCAATCCTCTAATGGGCATGAGTGTTTGCCCGTGGCTGTCGATCAAAGTACTTAAAGGGATGAACAGTAAATAATTACATGCTTCATAACGCACTGGGGATTTTGCAAAAACTAGGCAGACACACACACACACATATATGTACAGTATAGCTAAGCGATTATTTAAGTGTTCTGATTAACATTAGCAGTGCAGAGAGGTTACTGCAAATTGAAATGTTGTCCATTAAAAGGAATTTCTCTAAGTCAGCACTTAGCTTATGATTCATTCTAAATGATTTTTCAGGCATCTTAAAGGTCTGGGGAAAGAAAAAACCTTTATTGCCTTTGTGAAGGAGCTCGGACTTTAGCTGGAATGAGGCCTCATTCGGAATGTCTGAAAACACTAATAACGGCAAGACTAAACAATTTGCCAAAGGAAACCAAACCTAGTTAAACAGTTCCAGTACACTGCACCTTTAAGCCTTCTCACTACCCATAGAGAGTCCTCTTAACATAATTCACTATGTCTTCTCCTCGTCTGAACCCACAAAGTAACGGTGTTGTATTCCTATTTAATGTGAGCCACAGGTATCCCTGATGGGTCACGTAATCTACGTCTCATTTGCATCGCTTTGCAGAGTGAAGCGCTAATCTCCAGAGGAGACAAACGACTTCCCTGGAGTGATTTCACCTTGACCTGTAATTGAGTAGAAGCTACTTAGATTGCCAGAGTGTGAGTTTGCGCGTGTGAAGCAGCACAGCTCATGTTATTTCTAGTTCCTGCCAATAAAACAAACACTTTGCCATATTACTAACGTGTGACTGAGGAGAATCAAGTTGCCCTTCAATTACCTGACGGATCAGGCGTCGTCTCCCAGTGCAGGTCCCCGTCTTTGTCCCTGATCCAGCCACAAAGACCATCATCAAAGGAGCAGCTCAGATACCCCGACTCTGAATAGAAGAAAAAAAACACACACTTTTCAAAGAAGTGGAGGGCGCACACACTTGCACGGGGCGTCAGTCTGCTCTTTGTAATGCTTCACAGTAACCTTGCTTTTTTTTGCCTCTAACTTCCCCAGGAGCGAGAGGACTGCCGAAGCTTCTTCTGATGAACACGATGATACAATAAAAGCGCAAACATTTGTTGTAATGTTGTAATCTCTCTGAAGAGATCTGATGCACTGGAGAAAAATGAATTGGAAATGGAGCTGCACAAATTACGAGCAGAAGTGCATTCATCTATAAAAATAAGAAAAAAAATCATAAATATTTACATGAGCTGCAGGAACTGCTGATGTCATTGTGTTTGTAAGTGAACACAAAGACTACTGTTTGCATGCCTTGCATTGTAATTAAAATACATCGTGGTTACAACACAGCTGTAATATTCAGTGACTGATGATTTCTAAGATCCCAGTGATGATGCCCAGACAATAACATTAAGGCAACACAGGCAAAGCAGCTGCTGTAGCATGCAGGCGCTGCAGTACAAATTGGTTCGATGAAAATAACATCCATCATTTTGTCCCTGAAACAGGATTTCCAAGAAAAAAGAAAAAAAAAAAATGCCAGTTCATTTTCTGAGCCAATGAAAACGCTCTGTGCCTGTGACACGGCGTATCAAATGATACACCCAAACCGCAATAAACACACAACGAAATCATTAGGCAATCTTTGCTGCATACCATTGACATCAATAAATCACATTGAGTAAACATGACAGGAGAAGCCATCTCCTCACAAAAGCTTGTTGTTGTGGGAACCTCCTTAATAACTCAAGTATTACGAAGGTTTTGGGCGAAGCTGTGATGTGCTTCAAAATGGTCAATTCATCATTCAAGCAGTCAAGTAATCAAGCTGGCGTAATGCAAAAAGTGGGAAAAGTCTGGCACAGCTTTCCGGGCTGCGAGCCATTATTTAAACCGAAACGACCAGATGTCATGTGTCACCCCCTGGTGAAGGCCCTATCAAAACACATCTGGTCACTGTAATACCTTCACCCTCTGCAGCAGCACTGCGGGAGATGATTGTCAGTTTCATTTTGGTCACGGTAAATGTGGCTCATCCATCATCATTCGAGCTCAATGAGCGGGGCTCTTGCTGATTGTCTCTGTCAAATGTGTTTTGTTTACCTGGGTCATCCTTGGCTTCGTCTGCCGTGTTGCCGAGCTCAATGTCAAAGTCGATGTCGAGGACTGTGTTGCCACTGGGGTTCCGGGGGACTGAGAGGAAAGAGACAGAGAAAGAGAGACAAAGGCTTAGATAAAGGATTAACAAAGGTATTATGTTTGTTCACTAACGTCTGCTTGTGGCTGTTATATCCCTTTGTTTCATTACTCAAAGGTTTTACACGGCGAAATCAATGTCATGGCTTAGCACCTCCATAACCAATGCCAGTCACATTTAATAACAGGCAAGATTCCAGAGACTGGAATACCTGAGAAAAACCTGTAGCAACACTAGAGGTCTAATGTGAGTCATATAGAGGAAAAGGAAGATGGCTCATCTGATGCAACATCTGAGCAAATGTTACGGCTGCACACCTAGCAGCTTCAGTACACGAACGTACACGAGGTACACAGCCTCTCCTTAAATAGCCTCTTTCCTTGTCCGATGGTGTCAACCTGACCAAAATATCACAGACTGAGCCAAGTCACTAAAGGTCAAGTGTGCGCTGGAGAAAAAAAAAAACATGTTTTTTTTTTAGTGAGCAATGTTTTGACCTTTTTGTTCTGTTAGAATGATCACTGTCTGATTTTAAAATGCCTTTTGGTTGAATGGTTGAAATGTCAAAAAATATATAAAGTACAGAGACATCCTTATTTTGATATATACTGGGTTTACACTTGTCAGTGGAATTTAATGAGACAAATTATCAATTAAAATATTCTTAGCCTTCCAGGCTGCTTCGTGTGCGTTTGCTATGAATGAACTGTAACCTGCACTTGAACTGTCAAGCCCCCCCCTAGAGTCCTTAATGTGTGCCCCCTCCCACTCAGCCTCTACACTGAAAGGGCTCCTGCACATGCTGGGTCACAACCACCTGGCAGATTGTGATGTAGTCTGTCAGTCGTAGGAATCTGAGAGTGCGGAGATCACACACACATACACACACCAGTCTCTCGAGCAATCCCTGGCATCCAGGTCTCTCTGTGTGTCTGTGCTTTTAAGGAACAAGCATCCCTATGAATTTGGTTGTAGAGTATATACCTATGAGTCATGTGAAAAAGAAAGGGCATTGTCTTTCAGCTCTAAGGTTTAACATATCACGCTCTTACTGCTTTACTGCTTTACTGCTTACTTGCTTTCTTTCTTCTTACACTTTTCTCGCTCACTATGTATTAACAGACCTCTCTGCATTGAATCATATCTGTTATTAACCTCTGTCTCTCTTCCACAGCATGTCTTTTATCCTGTCTTCCTTCTCTCACCCCAACCGGTCGCAGCAGATGGCCGCCCCTCCCTGAGCCTGGTTCTGCCGGAGGTTTCTTCCTGTTAAAAGGGAGTTTTTCCTTCCCACTGTCGCCAAAGTGCTTGCTCATAGGGGGTCATATGATTGTTGGGTTTTTCTCTGTATCTATGAAGCGCCTTGAGGCGACTTTTGTTGTGATTTGGCGCTATATAAATAAAATTGAATTGAATTGAATTGAATTGAACTGCTTCCAGAGGAATTGGGAGGGTAAAGTAGCAGCTCGCTCCTGCTAATCAAATGCACTTAATTAATTCATCATGAGCAAGTGTGAGCAAGGAGAAAAGACCACAGTAATGACCTTAGAGAAGCAACTGTTGCTCTCCATTAATCTGAGAAGGGTCATTTTCAAACAATTTGAAGTATGTTATTCTGCAGTGAGAAAGATTACTCACAAAGGAAAACATTTGTGAATAAAACTCAAGACTCTCCCAGTCTTCCTGGGAGTGGACATCCAAGCAAATTCACTCCAAGGTCAGATTGTGCAGTTCTAAGAGAAACTGCAAAAAACCCAGAAGCTGCATATTAGACTCAACTACCCAGAGTCCTGGTTTTTCTATCTAATCTATCTATCTATCTATCTATCTAACCACTAAGGATGTCTTTAAAATGTGGGGTAGAGGGGGGAGAAAAACATGGTTCTTAAGGTTTAGAGACAAGTGCAGTGTACTTATTCCTTTCTAGACACCATGTAGCTGCATCTTTTAACCGGCAGGTTAAACATCGCACTTCATCATCCATCCATCACTGTCGCTCAGTGAAAGCCTCACATCTCTGCAGCTTGCATTCAGAGATTAAGAGCCTTATTTAAGCCTAATGTACAACAATTCCTGACACAATTCACGGTATGTTTATATTCTGGGAAATATGTTTATTGGAGTTCTTGCTGACTTCGATGGAGGTAGAAGTGGCAGGCAACAACATTAACATGAAGAGGGGAAGCAGCGAGACACAGCTAGCCTGCCTCTCTCTGTAGTTAAACAAATGTGACTATTAGCATTTCAAAAGCTTACTAATTGGCAGTTCTGGCACTATGTCTTTAAACCTTATCCAGACAGAGTCATAACAATTTGTTGTTTTATAGGCATTTGTGTAGCATTATCATCATTATTTGGCTGGAAGCCGACTTCATGGTGTTTTGCCAAGCAAACAGCAGAGATGCTACGCAGGACAAACTGTTGTTGTAGTAAAAACCAAAGACACTGTCATTTTTTTTCTTTTATATTTCGCTTCTAACACACGTCGATAACAAAAATGCACAATTCAGATAAGCGTATCTCTTCATCTCAGCCTCTGCTCGTTATCTTACTGTGAGTTGATCACAGCTTTCACATTTTTTCTTAATGATTAAAAGGTTATAGAGACGAGGTTTTCTCGGGACAAACGGGTGACGCTCACTTCACGGGTCAAGACCCAAAGGAATCTGTGAAAACCTTTGAATTAGTTCCAACTGAAACGCACACCTGCACTCGAGAAGCAGCTGAAGTATTCTTCACGCCACGGGGCTCTTCTTCATTTTCATCCCTATTTCCGTCTAATTATTTGAATAATCACTCGGTGATGTCTCTCCTCCCCTCCTTCCCACTCTCTCTCATCTGATTCAAGCCATCCTCAGCAAGCTCTGATTTCTAGAACTGCTCTGCCGTAGTGCGGACTATTAGATTGATGTCTCCCTCAAGCAGGGCAGACAGGTGTTAAGGTAATCTTCTCTCCTCTTCCCTTTTTCTAATTATGTGATGCCATCTGGCAAGGTGAATAGGAACCACAGTATCTCACCTCTTATTCTGTACTTAGTTTCTCGGCATACATATTTTTGAGGGAGAACAGCTTAATGCAGAGTTTTCAGTAAACACTGTAATTTGCTGTGGCTACAAGCAAGCAAAACGCCAAAAGAGAGACACTTCTTGGAAATAAGCTTTATCGGGTCTTTGATACACAGACAGTATTTGTTAGTGGGATCAACTCGTTGCTGCTTTTTTTGTCTTATCGTTGGATTTACTGAGCACTGTCAACAAAATACAAAATTCCAACCAGCCCTATCATGTAAATGGTGACTGTTAAGCTCAAGAGAGAAAACCGCCCATTTCATCTGTTACATAAAAACGAGGATCGTGATTTCAGCCCTGAACTGCATATTTCAGACTTAACAGTGGGCGAGTTTTCTCATTAAGAAACAATTCACAGTTCTGAAAAGGTGCAGCACACGATTGGTCTGATTAACTCCTTTGTTAAAGCCAAAAAAAAGCAGTCTTACCACCTAACATTATTTATAATTCATTCTGTTATTTGGTTTGATTGAGAGTGTGATTCATTTTGAAGGTAATTGGTGTCAGAGTTTGATGCTTGGCCGAGAGCACTGCGTGACATGTGAATAACAAACGGTCTGGCTTAGTTTGTGTTTGTCACTTGAAGCCAAAAAGATAATTACCTTGAGAAGAGAGAGACATTCCTTCTCTCACCGTACAGTTTTGTGACACTGAGCTCATAATACTTCATTTTCTTGCAAAAAAATGGACATTATTGCCATACAATAGCTGCATTTTGAATATGGGTGTAGCTCTATTCAAATGGAAATCATTGTGAATTCCCCTATATAGGAGACTTAAAGGGAGCGTTCATGCCAGAATCAAATTTACATATTTTACCTGTGTGTAGTGCTTTTTATCGATCTTCTTTTCCCAGAAATTATAAACTGTTTACTCAAGAAAAAAAGCAAGTGGCATGTAGTTTGACTATTGAGGATAAGGCAGGGAATTTCTTCAAAACTGAAAACTGGCTGCCACTACAGGCTAGCTGTAAAACACATTAAGGTGACCAGATCCCAATAAAGTGAATGTGGAGCAAACACTGTGTTTGTGTGGGACAAAGTGGGACACGTCAACAACACTGAGAGGTTTTCTGAAATGTTCATATCCAATTTTAAACTAAAAATACACTAAACTGCGCAGGTCACCGGGTTGTCATTTAGCAAATACAAGACAAATATACAGTGATCATAAAAGAAAGCTTCAGTTTGTTCTTATAGACTCGTGCAATAGTCTTTATATACTCCTGTGTTCTCTTTTATTTCACTGTTATTTCAGCAGCTCTTCTGTTTGGATGTATCTATAGATAGGATGACACTTTAAGCAATTTTTATCCAATTATGACCCACACATACTGCGTCACCTCACAACATATCTTCCGCCTGTGGGAAATGGCAAAATACCTTTAACAAAAACAGACAAAACCGCTTTTTTTGCAACAGCTTCTGTCATATTCAAGAAAATCTACAACGTTTGTGACTTTTTTGGGGACTTTTAACTTTACCTTCTTCTTCTGACTATAATAAGAAGTGTTTTCTTCATACAGACTGCGTAAAAGTGCATGCCCTGCAGAACTAGTCAAAATATGGCACATTGTCCAAAATGTGGGAAGGGGGGAAACAGTGGGTAACAAACTCCCGCTCCAGTGTATCTTAACTGGTCTTGAAAGTGACCTCTGAGTTTTGAGTTGAACCATTTTGAAGACTTTGCAAATGGAAACTTTGAGATTCAAATTTGCTGACATATCTAAACTGTCATGTTGTTAGCTGGAAGATGAACTTTATACACCAGCTGCCAGCTGCTGTTTATGGTAATATATGAAATCTTGATGTGCGAATGCAACAACTTAACCCCTTAATGCCAAGTGGATCGCATTTGATACGTGAGTTTTTGTTTTTTACATCATCAGTGTAATTTTTCCCCCTGAAAAAAATTAATAAATTGCACAGTACATTTTTAAACAATACACTGCAAAAACAAAAACTAATTAAATTAAAAGAAAACACACCAGATGTAGCAAATGTGATACAAATTAAAAGATAATTCATGCAGATTTCATTAATTTATTTTTTTCATTTGCCAGAAGCTTCTATATGCATTAAATAATCATGAAATAATTGCAAGAATTGTTGTTTTAT